TCATGTCCTTCTACGAGCAACACCAGCAATCGGCGCCTGCGCAGTCACACCACAGCAACGACAATGGAGCAACACCCATGAGTCTCGACGGTTCATCATATGCACGAGGAAATCAGCAACAGCAGCCTACCTTTGCTCCGTACGAGCGCGGGTCCATCAGCTTTATGCCACACCCACAGCCCTCACCTGGACAAGAAAAACCACTGGACGCATTGCAAGTTCAGTCGCAGTTCGCACACGTTCTGAAGATGCAGACGTCAAGACCCTTTGATGGAAAGGACTTCTTCACCTGGTCGTTCGAGTTCGAGCTGATGATGGAAGGCGCGCAGATACTCGGGTTCTTCGACGGGTCTCTGCCATACCCAACAAACGGCACACAGTACAAGAAGCAGCAGTGTACCTATCAGTCAATGATGGCGTACACGATCCTACTGAGGAATATCACCCCGACTCAACAGCAGAATATAAGGACTTACCGAGGTTACGGCAACTCCGCGGAGCTCGCGTACAACCACCTGAAGAGCCTGTATCAAGCAACAGACATCGTAAGCCAAAGTCGGTTAATGGCGCAACTGACAACGGTTGAAATGAAACCAGGGGAGAAAGGAATGGCGTATATCTGTCGATGTCGCGAGTTGCGCGACAAGCTTCTTCGATGCGGAGGGTCGATTTCTGAAGACGCCTTCGTGACAGTCATCATCGGCGGCCTCGGTCCTCAATGGCACACCACAAAGGCCATTCTCTGAGCTCACAGAAGAATCTCCGAAGCAGCGCTCTGCGCCGAAATCCACGCCGAGCAGCAAGACATGGACCTGCAAGAAGAACGACACAGAAAGAAGACATCAGCACCAGAATTCGCGTTCCACACCCAACGACGCTACAACAACAACAACAACCGGCAGCAACAACCGAAGCCAGTACCTCCGTTCTGCCACATCTGCAAAACTTCAGGACACCCGCGTACGCACTGCCCGAATCGTCAACAGTCAACAACTCCACAGCGGCAACTTCGACCTTCAAGCAGCCAAATCGCCTCAACGCAAGCAAATCCCACGACTCAGATTCAAGCCTCAACAACCTCAAGAGGACAACCTGCACAAGGAGCAAGAAACATCGTCAGCTGCATGGCAAAGCTAAGTGACTCCTGCATCACCGAGTCACCACCACACTACTCACCGGAGGAACAACTCGACGAAACCACACCCCGCCGCGAGTCACTTCAGCCGAACCCGACATACGCCGCCATCGCCCAAAGCGAACCATCCGGAAGGGACACATGGTTCCTGGACAGTTGCTGCGGACAGCACATGTGCTCCTCGGGACCCATCGTTCAACGAGAACACCAACTTCAACGCGAAGTTGTCATTACAGTCGCCAACAATCAGAACCTGCAAACACGACGACAAGGCGTAGTTCAACTTCAGTCAAGGGAAACAAACGTTATACTGCAGATGTCAAAAGTACTAATCGCGGAGGGACTCGGCTACAACTTACTGAGCGTCAGTCAGCTAATGGCGAAAGGGATTCACCTCGAAGCAGACAGCACCACCCAAGAATTCAAGCTGTATCACGGGAGAGGAGGACTCTACATCGGCAAGGCGGTCCTCAAGAACAACGTCTTCGTTCTTGACTTCGTTCCTGACCTTGGCACCGACGACAGCGACGCCATCGTTAACTTCACCAACTGGACACACCCTCCAGATCTTGATCCAGACTTTAGTCCAGAAGGCTTCTGGTATTCACACACCATCCTCGAAACAGAAAGAACAAGGGCGTTAGCAACAATTCAGACAACATCAGCAGCAGCAGAGACAACATCGGCAGCAGCAGAGACAACATCAGCAGCAGCAGAGACAACATCGGCAGCAGCAGAGACAACATCGGCAGCAGCAGAGACAACATCGACAGTAGCAGAACCATCAACGGCAGCAGCAGGAACGTCAACACCAATCGCTGGTCCTTCAACGACACCGCTCCTCATCGACGACACACCACCAACACCCGCGCAACAACTACACCCAGCACCACGAGAAGTTCATCGTAGCGCCAACTTCACCGCCAACTTCTACTCCAACTCCGATATGTACCGACGATCACCCGGACATCGCGACGACGAAAGCACCTGGCACGCAAGGATGGGACACCCAAGCAACACAGTATTAAACAATACGATAAGAGCAGGAGTACTCGACAAGGACTCACTCCTACTGACCGACGGACGAGAACTTCAACGAGTACGCGGAACGTGCCTCACCTGCCCTCAAGGTGACTTACCACATCGACCGTTTGCGTCTCATCACAACCCGAGCGCTCCCGCGTATGCACCAATCAAGAAGGTGTATAGCGACATCCTTTTCAATCGGGAACCAGGACAAATAATTTACAACTATACAATCACCTTCATCGACGCCGCCACCTGTTACGTCTGGCACCTAAACCTCCCTAGCCGCGACATGGCATTCGAAGCCTTCGTTGCCTGGCTACCAGTAGCAGAGAGAGAATCGGGCGTGAAACTGAAAAGCTTCCAGACAGACGGAGGAGGAGAATACACCTCTCAGCGATTCAAGCAGTACCTGGCGGAAAGGGGAATCAAGCGGCTCATCTCCCTTCCCTACGCCCATCAGCAGCAAGGTGTAGCAGAAAGAATGAACAGGACCTTGCAGAACAGCATGCGCAAACTGTTACGTGGCATGCGGCTACCCAACCACCAGTGGCCTGCGGCAATGGACCACGCCGTCATGCTGCACAACTTGCTCTCGTCATCATCGCTTCCAAACAACGCATCACCGCATCTGCTATGGACAGGGAAGCAGGGCAGCACAAAAATGTTACGAGTATTCGGATGCATGGTACAGTACCGACCCCCAGCAGCACGAGCGGGCCGATTTTCTCAACGAGCACAGTGGGGACTACACCTGGGAATCGAAAAGAACTACAACGCGTGGAAAATCTTCGACGTCCATTCCAAGGAAACAGTAGCAGCACGTGATGTAATTTTCTACGAACGACTCACGCTCCAGACATACCTTGCCAACCTGCAAGAACACCAGGATCCCACAGGTGGTTTTCGCGGTGACCGAGCCTTCGCCTCAGCAGCGGACGAAGCTGACTGGGACGAGCAGAATGTGGACAACGCATCAGAAGAAGCCGGACCTCTTCCGTTCTGCTCCGTCGACGTTCCCAATGGACGAAGATAACCCTCGCGAAAGTGTCAACGCCGAAACCTTCTACCATTTCGCCGACAACGGTTACGTAACACCTGCGAGAGTCAACACCAACGAAGCAGAACGAGTAGGACCGAACTTCATACCTGATCCAGAAGCGGGAGATGAAGCAGCTTATCCCGAGGACGTAAATCTTCTCCGCTACTCACAGAGTGGACTGCAGATTCTCGGACTCGTCACCGCAGTTCACGGCACCGCCACTCCTAAAGAGCCTGCGACAGTTCAACAGGCTCTGGGGGGGGAACATAAGGAAAAATGGCGCGAAGCCATGGACAAGGAACTGAAGGCACTGGAGGAACGCAACACGTGGAAAGTGGTTCCTATCGGCGTGGCACGGAACAAGACAGTGCTCACCGGGAAGTGGGTCTTCCGTGTGAAGACAAAGGCTGACGGCACCATTGACAAGTTTAAAGCTCGCTGGGTTGTACGCGGCTTCGACCAAGAACACGGACGAGACTTCACCGAAACCTTCGCTCCGGTTAGCCGCCACACCTCACTACGCATTCTCCTCGCAATCGCCGCCATAAAGAAGAAGAAGCTGCGACAAATCGACGTCGCGAACGCGTTTCTCTACGCACCTGTTGATGCAGAAATCTTCGTCGAGCTACCGCACGGCTCTCACAGAGAACCCAACCAAGTCTGCCAGCTTCTCAAGTCACTCTACGGCATCAACCAAGCTCCGCGACTGTGGCAACAGTACCTGCACGCTCGCCTCATCCGCATCGGCTTCAAGCAACTACCGCACGATCAAGGCATGTACCGGCTCACTAAAAACGACGACTACATCCTACTAATCGTCTACGTGGACGATCTCCTTTACATCGGCTCAACTGACGGCATCACCACCTGGTTCGAAGGGGAGCTGCAACGGGATCTCACGCTCACAGTTTCATCTACCGTCACTCAGTACCTCGGCCTCAACATCCGGGAAGAGGAGGACGCGATCGAGAAGGGAAGGCTCGAGCTGTCATACTGCCCCACGTCCGAGATGGCAGCTGACTACCTGACCAAGAAGCTCGGAAAGCAAAAGTTAGAATACTACATGCTGCTGACTGGACAGAGCCACATCAGCGACACTCTAGAAGCGAAGGGGAGTGTTGGAAACAATCGGTCCTAAGCGCCTCTGTCGTTTCAAAACACTAAGGCACAAGCGAAGCAAAGCATATCGAAGCACCAGCGAGTCAACCCTCGGAGGTTGAAGTAACTGCTGGAGGTTACGCGAAAGTCAAAGGTCAGCGACCTTTGACCTGACAAATACAGCGTGACAGCAAGGACACATAACTGACTCGTTACAGAGCAGTTGCCCGAGTCGTCACTGTATCAAACCGCAACAGCAACAGTAAAGTAGTTATAACTGTATGTTTTCATATTCCCTATATTCATATATAATCTTGTATCTCTTTGCTTTAATCAACTTACTTTGCCCTCACATACTAGCGCAAGGTGGTTCGCAACTCTTTATTAACGCTTCTGCTACTACACCAACTCTACCCAGAGTTCACCCCTGCAAAGATCCTAAGGGCTTTTTCAGCCCAACAATTCATACCATTACAACATGCTAAGGTACGGGTATGATAACTTGCAGAGTTAGCAAGGGGCCAGACATATAATACAACAACGTGCCACACGGCATTCCTCATGCATGCAGCCGTGGCTTGGATTGGATCCATAACCACCAGCAACAGCAGCAGCAGCAGCAGCAGCAGCAGCAGCAGCAGCAGCAGCAGCAGCAGCAGCAGTGACATACTGTATTCACTTCTGCCTCCAACGCGTGCCTTACAGCACACACACACGGTATCTACCGTAAGACGCCTCAAAACTAGCAACAGCACAAGGACCCCCAGACCAGATCAGAAGGTCCTCAGGCGACCCAACGATCTCCCACCCACCCAGCCTACGGTACTGCCAAAGCACTCTGGCCCAAAGAGCACCGCACGTGCAGTCTGAGCGCAAAGAGCACCGCACCGCACGTGCTGCTGGGTGCCTTCTGAATCGACACACAAGCCAGTCAGTCGCTGGTTGATTTTGCACCGGCAGCCTTGCTGGTGGTTCAGTCTCACTTCTTCTCCCTCCCCTTGGGTTTCTTCACACACGACTGCTTATCAGCTGTCTGCACATACCCACTCTCACACAAACAGTTTGGGTCCACCCCCACCCCCACCCTCCCCCTCCCCCATCTCTCCCCTCTTGGCAAACCAGGTGACTCCTGAGTCGAGTTACGTGGAAGACACCTGGCAGTTACGGTAGGCCTCACTTCCTCTTCCGCCCCTTGGGTTTCTTCACGCAGGACTGCTTGTCAGCTGTCTGAACATACCCTGCGTCACACAAACAGTTCGGGTCCACCCCCTTGGCAAACCAGCATGCCCCGTGCCCCCCGCACGGGTTCTCCCCTGCGTTGCAAAACCTCTTGCACGTGCTGGCAGCAACCTGGGTCTGCACCCTCCCGGCCTGGTAGCACGCGGAGGTGGTGGGGTATGTGAGGCAGTTGTATGCAATGGAAGACTGGTAGAAGATGCCTCGGCGGGTCTGGTCTTGAGGGCAGGAGGTGACGCCGCCGGCAGTGACAGAGGCAGGACCGTAGAAGAAGTTGTGGTGCAGGTTGTATTGGCCGGCTGACAGGATGGTGCCGTTCTTGAAGCCGGTTGGCAGTGGACCGGACAGCATGTTGTCGTGTAGGTTGCTGCGATGGGGTGAGGAGGAAGGGGGAAGGGGAGATGGTGGATGGGAGTTTGCCAGAGGATTGGTGGTGCAGGCTGGCTGAGTGGAGAGATTATGTGCAGAAGAGTGAAGGGAGAGTGGAGAGGAGGGAGAGAGAGAGAGAGAGAGAGAGAGAGTGTGAGAGAGAGAGAGAGAGAGAGAGAGTGCTAGAAGGGGAAAGGGAGGACTGCTACTCACCACGCTCTGCGGGATGAGATAGCAAACATAGGGGCTGATGCGGGCTTTACGGTGCACAAAGAGACGTATGCCTACTCTCTGGTTGAAAACCTTAAGGCGGATGTCACCATCCGTCATCCCCTGACTGGAGAGGTGTGGATGTGCGACGTGACCGTAACGGACCCGGTGTCTTACCAGGACGAGAACTGCAACTGTGCTCCGGGATGGGCGGATAGGGCGGCAGCAGCTAGGAAGGAGGAGAAGTACGCTCGCAGGAACGCGTGGGTGGGGTTCCACGTGCTTGCAGTGGAGACTTATGGATACCCCTCACCAGGGGTGATGGCTTACCTGCGGCAATGCGCGGATTTGGCGGCAAAGCTGCGGTTTAACGCAGCACCAACCTCTTACGAAGCAGCTAAGCTGCTGACAGAGTACCGCCAGCGCTGGAGCGTGTGCCTCCAGCGGGCGCAGGCCAATGCCCTCCGCACCAAGACCAACGAGGCCTTGGCGGCGGACGAGCTTGGCTTTTGGGGTCCCATCATCCCTCGCAGTGAGGGACAGCTACACCAGCTGATTGAGCCCCCGTTCGACCAGTAGGGTCGGACAGAGGGGGGGGCGGGAGAAGGTAGGGGATGTGGAGTAGATAGGATACCGGTTTGCGTGTTTGTTTAGCTTGTGTGTTTGCATCTTCCACTGTACCACTGGACCATTCGAGAGAGAGTGAGAGTGTGTGTGTGTGTGTGTGAGAGAGAGAGAGAGAGAGAGAGAGAGAGAGAGAGAGAGAGAGAGAGAGAGAGAGAGAAAGAGAGAGAGGAGAGAAGTGAAGTGAGCGTACAGCAGAGTGAGCTTACAGAAGGTTTAGTTTGGGCAGAGAGAGGATGCCTCGAGGGAGGGAGCCAGAGAGATCGTTGCTCTCCAGGTAGCTGCGAGGGGGGAGATGGGAGAGGGCGGGGGAAGACACGTGAAAGAAAAAAAAGTGTTTTGAGACATCTCAGAACACGCCTCGAGAAAGGGGGCCATAGAAATCGTTGCTCTCCAGGTAGCTGATAGAAGGTGGGGGAAGGTGGTTGGGAGGATTGTGGATGACTTTTGAGTCGACTCAAAAGAGCGTGGGGGAAGGTGGTTGGGAGAATTGTGGAAGTCGACTCAAAAGAGCGTGGGGGAAGTCGGTTGGGAGGATTGTGGATGACTATGGCGTGAACATAAGCGTTGCTGTCCAGGTAGCTGCGAGGTGTGAAGGAAGAAGAGCGTTGGAGAAGGTGGGAGAGCATTGGAGAAGGCGGGAGAGGGCAGCAGGAAGGCGGGAGAGGGCAGCAGGAAGGCGGGAGAGGGCAGCAGGAAGGCGGGAGTGGGCAGCAGGAAGGTGGGAGTGGGTGGCGGGAAGGCGGGAGTGGGTGGCGGGAAGGCGGGAGTGGGTGGCGGGAAGGCGGGAGTGGGTGGCGGGAAGGCGGGAGTGGGTGGCGGGAAGGCGGGAGTGGGTGGCGGGAAGGTGGCAGGCGAGTGAGTGAATATGGTGTGAAGATAATATTCTGCTTTGGGATAAGATATGGTGTAGAGGTTAGAAATGCGGTGTAAGACATTGGGACAGAGCAAGCATGGCAAGAGGCAGCATGGCAAGAGGCAGCATGGCAAGAGGCAGCATGGCAAGAGGCAGCATGGCACGAGACAGCATGGCATGAGGCACAGCAGTGCAGTGGTGACTTAATGGAGCAAGGCGGCAGAGGAGGGATTCACAGCTCAGTGAGCTCCTTGAGGGGACTGATGACATCCAGTCATAGGTGCAGCATGGGATCACACCACTAACACCTTGAAGCATAGGGGCAGCATGGGATCACACCACTAACACCTTGAAGCATAGGGGCAGCATGGGATCACACCACTAACACCTTGAAGCATAGGGGCAGCATGGGATCACACCACTAACACCTTGAAGCATAGGGGCAGCATGGGATCACACCACTAACACCTTGAAGCATAGGGGCAGCATGGGATCACACCACTAACACCTTGAAGCATAGGGGCAGCATGGGATCACACCACTAACACCTTGAAGCATAGGGGCAGCATGGGATCACACCACTAACACCTTGAAGCATAGGGGCAGCATGGGATCACACCACTAACACCTTGAAGCATAGGGGCAGCATGGGATCACACCACTAACACCTTGAAGCATAGGGGCAGCATGGGATCACACCACTAACACCTTGAAGCATAGGGGCAGCATGGGATCACACCACTAACACCTTGAAGCATAGGGGCAGCATGGGATCACACCACTAACACCTTGAAGCATAGGGGCAGCATGGGATCACACCACTAACACCTTGAAGCATAGGGGCAGCATGGGATCACACCACTAACACCTTGAAGCATAGGGACACCTTGATCACATCATGCAGCAAAGCAGGGCAGGCACTCACAGCACGGTGAGCTCTTTGAGGCACTCACAGCACGGTGAGCTCTTTGAGGCACTCACAGCACGGTGAGCTCTTTGAGGCACTCACAGCACGGTGAGCTCTTTGAGGCACTCACAGCACGGTGAGCTCTTTGAGGCACTCACAGCACGGTGAGCTCTTTGAGGCACTCACAGCACGGTGAGCTCTTTGAGGCACTCACAGCACGGTGAGCTCTTTGAGGCACTCACAGCACGGTGAGCTCTTTGAGGCACTCACAGCACGGTGAGCTCTTTGAGGCACTCACAGCACGGTGAGCTCTTTGAGGCACTCACAGCACGGTGAGCTCTTTGAGGCACTCACAGCACGGTGAGCTCTTTGAGGCACTCACAGCACGGTGAGCTCTTTGAGGCACTCACAGCACGGTGAGCTCTTTGAGGCACTCACAGCACGGTGAGCTCTTTGAGGCACTCACAGCACGGTGAGCTCTTTGAGGCACTCACAGCACGGTGAGCTCTTTGAGGCACTCACAGCACGGTGAGCTCTTTGAGGCACTCACAGCACGGTGAGCTCTTTGAGGCACTCACAGCACGGTGAGCTCTTTGAGGCACTCACAGCACGGTGAGCTCTTTGAGGCACTCACAGCACGGTGAGCTCTTTGAGGCACTCACAGCACGGTGAGCTCTTTGAGGCACTCACAGCACGGTGAGCTCTTTGAGGCACTCACAGCACGGTGAGCTCTTTGAGGCACTCACAGCACGGTGAGCTCTTTGAGGCACTCACAGCACGGTGAGCTCTTTGAGGCACTCACAGCACGGTGAGCTCTTTGAGGCACTCACAGCACGGTGAGCTCTTTGAGGCACTCACAGCACGGTGAGCTCTTTGAGGCACTCACAGCACGGTGAGCTCTTTGAGGCACTCACAGCACGGTGAGCTCTTTGAGGCACTCACAGCACGGTGAGCTCTTTGAGGCACTCACAGCACGGTGAGCTCTTTGAGGCACTCACAGCACGGTGAGCTCTTTGAGGCACTCACAGCACAGTGAGCTCTTTGAGGCACTCACAGCACGGTGAGCTCTTTGAGGCACTCACAGCACGGTGAGCTCTTTGAGGCACTCACAGCACGGTGAGCTCTTTGAGGCACTCACAGCACGGTGAGCTCTTTGAGGCACTCACAGCACGGTGAGCTCTTTGAGGCACTCACAGCACGGTGAGCTCTTTGAGGCACTCACAGCACGGTGAGCTCTTTGAGGCACTCACAGCACGGTGAGCTCTTTGAGGCACTCACAGCACGGTGAGCTCTTTGAGGCACTCACAGCACGGTGAGCTCTTTGAGGCACTCACAGCACGGTGAGCTCTTTGAGGCACTCACAGCACGGTGAGCTCTTTGAGGCACTCACAGCACGGTGAGCTCTTTGAGGCACTCACAGCACGGTGAGCTCTTTGAGGCACTCACAGCACGGTGAGCTCTTTGAGGCACTCACAGCACGGTGAGCTCTTTGAGGCACTCACAGCACAGTGAGCTCTTTGAGGCACTCACAGCACGGTGAGCTCTTTGAGGCACTCACAGCACGGTGAGCTCTTTGAGGCACTCACAGCACGGTGAGCTCTTTGAGGCACTCACAGCACGGTGAGCTCTTTGAGGCACTCACAGCACGGTGAGCTCTTTGAGGCACTCACAGCACGGTGAGCTCTTTGAGGCACTCACAGCACGGTGAGCTCTTTGAGGCACTCACAGCACGGTGAGCTCTTTGAGGCACTCACAGCACGGTGAGCTCTTTGAGGCACTCACAGCACGGTGAGCTCTTTGAGGCACTCACAGCACGGTGAGCTCTTTGAGGCACTCACAGCACGGTGAGCTCTTTGAGGCACTCACAGCACGGTGAGCTCTTTGAGGCACTCACAGCACGGTGAGCTCTTTGAGGCACTCACAGCACGGTGAGCTCTTTGAGGCACTCACAGCACGGTGAGCTCTTTGAGGCACTCACAGCACGGTGAGCTCTTTGAGGCACTCACAGCACGGTGAGCTCTTTGAGGCACTCACAGCACGGTGAGCTCTTTGAGGCACTCACAGCACGGTGAGCTCTTTGAGGCACTCACAGCACGGTGAGCTCTTTGAGGCACTCACAGCACGGTGAGCTCTTTGAGGCACTCACAGCACGGTGAGCTCTTTGAGGCACTCACAGCACGGTGAGCTCTTTGAGGCACTCACAGCACGGTGAGCTCTTTGAGGCACTCACAGCACAGTGAGCTCTTTGAGGCACTCACAGCACGGTGAGCTCTTTGAGGCACTCACAGCACGGTGAGCTCTTTGAGGCACTCACAGCACGGTGAGCTCTTTGAGGCACTCACAGCACGGTGAGCTCTTTGAGGCACTCACAGCACGGTGAGCTCTTTGAGGCACTCACAGCACGGTGAGCTCTTTGAGGCACTCACAGCACGGTGAGCTCTTTGAGGCACTCACAGCACGGTGAGCTCTTTGAGGCACTCACAGCACGGTGAGCTCTTTGAGGCACTCACAGCACGGTGAGCTCTTTGAGACGGCTGATGCCGTCCGGGATGGTGCCCGTGAGCTGACCGTTGTCCAACAGACTGAGGGGCGCAAGGGGGGAGGGGGAAGGGGAGGTGGGGAGGGGGAGGGGGAAGGGGTGGACGGGGAAGGGGGTAGGGAAAAAAGGGATGAAACTGTTAAAAGGGCCCAACGCTGCTTGAGGTAGAGAGCGGCAGTTCTGCAGAATGGTGAGCAGAAAAAGGTCTTGTCGTGGCATGGCATGCATGGTATGATCTAATGTGACGGATCTAATGTGACGAATGAAACACGGCGAGCTTAGTAAGGTGCATGTCTGCATGCCACACGGTGCCACACGTTGCTACACGGTGCCACACGGTGCCACACGTTGCTACACGGTGCCACACGGTGCCACACGTTGCTACACGGTGCCACACGGTGCCACACGTTGCTACACGGTGCCACACGGTGCCACACGTTGCTACACGGTGCCACACGGTGCCACACGTTGCTACACGGTGCGTACATGCGTGAGAGTTTGGTGAGCTTGGAGATGGTTGCAGGGATGGTGCCGTTGAGAGGGGCAAACTCAGACACCCTGCGGTGAGGAGCGGTGGGGAAGGGTGTGAGGGGGGAGAAAGGAGCAAGAGGAGAGAAGAAGCTTGAAGAGAAGTAAAGATGGGTAAGAAGATACAGGCTGTGTGAAAGTAGCATGCAATAGCAGCAGCAGTGCTGAAAACCTGTGATACGGCAAGGAGCGGGTGAGGAGCAGTGAGGAGCGATGAGGGGCGGTGAGGAGGGGTGAGGAGGGGTGAGAAGGCGAGCACGTACAGGTCGGTGAGGCTCTTCATGTTGCCAGGTTGGCCGTGAGGAGTGGTGAAGAACGGTCAGGACCGGTGCTGACAAGGGACTTACAGGTCGGTAAGGCTCTTCATGTTGCCCAGGTTGGCCGGCAGAGTGCTTTGCAGATAGGGGTTGCTGCTTATGAAGCTGATTAGTAGGGGAGGGGGGGGGGGGGGGGGGGGTGGGAGGTAAAGAGAAAGAGAGGAGAGGGAGGTGCGTGTATGGACGTTGGGGGGCTTACAGGAAACACGTTGGGGGGCTTACAGGAAACACGTTGGGGGGCTTACAGGAAACACGTTGGGGGGCTTACAGGAAACACGTGAACGGGGAGACGCGAGCAGAGATAAGAGGATGGGAAGAGGGAGGTGGGGGCTGAGAGGATGGGCAGAGGTGGGTGGGGCTGAGAGGTTGGGCAGAGACGGGTAGGCGGGGTGGGGCTGAGAGGTTGGGCAGAGACGGGTAGGCGGGGTGGGGCTGAGAGGTTGGGCAGAGACGGGTAGGCGGGGTGGGGCTGAGAGGTTGGGCAGAGACGGGTAGGCGGGGTGGGGCTGAGAGGTTGGGCAGAGACGGGTAGGCGGGGTGGGGCTGAGAGGTTGGGCAGAGACGGGTAGGCGGGGTGGGGCTGAGAGGTTGGGCAGAGACGGGTAGGCGGGGTGGGGCTGAGAGGTTGGGCAGAGACGGGTAGGCGGGGTGGGGCTGAGAGGTTGGGCAGAGACGGGTAGGCGGGGTGGGGCTGAGAGGTTGGGCAGAGACGGGTAGGCGGGGTGGGGCTGAGAGGTTGGGCAGAGACGGGTAGGCGGGGTGGGGCTGAGAGGTTGGGCAGAGACGGGTAGGCGGGGTGGGGCTGAGAGGTTGGGCAGAGACGGATAGGCGGGGTGGGGCTGAGAGGTTGGGCAGAGACGGGTAGGCGGGGTGGGGCTGAGACGGGTAGGCGGGGTGGGGCTGAGACGGGTAGGCGGGGTGGGGCTGAGACGGGTAGGCGGGGTGGGGCTGAGACGGGTAGGCGGGGTGGGGCTGAGACGGGTAGGCGGGGTGGGGCTGAGACGGGTAGGCGGGGTGGGGCTGAGACGGGTAGGCGGGGTGGGGCTGAGACGGGTAGGCGGGGTGGGGCTGAGACGGGTAGGCGGGATGGGGCTGAGACGGGTAGGCGGGGTGGGGCTGAGACGGGTAGGCGGGATGGGGCTGAGACGGGTAGGCGGGGTGGGGCTGAGACGGGTAGGCGGGGTGGGGCTGAGACGGGTAGGCGGGGTGGGGCTGAGACGGGTAGGCGGGGTGGGGCTGAGACGGGTAGGCGGGGTGGGGCTGAGACGGGTAGGCGGGGTGGGGCTGAGACGGGTAGGCGGGGTGGGGCTGAGACGGGTAGGCGGGGTGGGGCTGAGACGGGTAGGCGGGGTGGGGCTGAGACGGGTAGGCGGGATGGGGCTGAGACGGGTAGGCGGGGTGGGGCTGAGACGGGTAGGCGGGATGGGGCTGAGACGGGTAGGCGGGGTGGGGCTGAGACGGGTAGGCGGGGTGGGGCTGAGACGGGTAGGCGGGATGGGGCTGAGACGGGTAGGCGGGGTGGGGCTGAGACGGGTAGGCGGGATGGGGCTGAGACGGGTAGGCGGGGTGGGGCTGAGACGGGTAGGCGGGTGGGGCTGAGACGGGTAGGCGGGGTGGGGCTGAGACGGGTAGGCGGGGTGGGGCTGAGACGGGTAGGCGGGGTGGGGCTGAGACGGGTAGGCGGGGTGGGGCTGAGACGGGTAGGCGGGGTGGGGCTGAGACGGGTAGGCGGGGTGGGGCTGAGACGGGTAGGCGGGGTGGGGCTGAGACGGGTAGGCGGGGTGGGGCTGAGACGGGTAGGCGGGGTGGGGCTGAGACGGGTAGGCGGGGTGGGGCTGAGACGGGTAGGCGGGGTGGGGCTGAGACGGGTAGGCGGGGTGGGGCTGAGACGGGTAGGCGGGGTGGGGCTGAGACGGGTAGGCGGGGTGGGGCTCACAGGATGTTGAGGTGGGGCTCACAGGATGTTGAGGTGGGGCTCACAGGATGTTGAGGTGGGGCTCACAGGATGTTGAGGTTGGTGAGACGCGTGAGGGTGATGGGGAGTGGACCGATGAAGCTGTTCTGATTGATGAAGCTGCACGGAGGGAGGGAAAAGTTGGGGAAGAGAGGGGCGAGAAGGGGGGAGAGAGGTGGAGAGAGAGTGAGAAGGGGAGCGGATGGTGGGAGGCATGGTGATAGGCATGGTGGGAAGGAGGCATGGTGGGAGGCATGGTGGGAGGCATGGTGGGAAGGAGGCATGGTGGGAAGGAGGCATGGTGGGAGGCATGGTGGGAGGCATGGTGGGAAGGAGGCATGGTGGGAAGGAGGCATGGTGGGAGGCATGGTGGGAGGCATGGTGGGAAGGAGGCATGGTGGGAAGGAGGCATGGTGGGAGGCATGGTGGGAGGCATGGTGGGAGGCATGGTGGGAGGCATGGTGGGAAGGAGGCATGGTGGGAGGCATGGTGGGAGGCATGGTGGGAGGCATGGTGGGAGGTGAAGCCCGAAACCCCCCACGTACAGGTTGGTGAGTGCCCCACGTGCGTAAACATGCACCCCCCCCGTACAGCACATGCCCATGTGCACATGCCCAGAACCCCCACGTACAGGTTGGTGAGCGGCATGATGGTGCCGATGCTGGATGGCAGCACGCCGTCAAACTTGTTCGTGTCGATGTACCTGGTCGGGTGGGGGGAAGGAGAGGAGAGGAAGGGCGGAGGGGCGGAGGAGCACGGGGTTAGCGCGTGGCAGTGTCGGTGTATTTTGCGGGGGAGGGGGACGGAGTGGTGTGGTGGAGTAAGCGAGAAACGCATGGAGAGGGGCACGGCGCATGAGCGGAGTGGTGTGGTGGAGTAAGCGAGAGACGCATGGAGAGGGGCACGGCGCATGAGCGGAGTGGTGTGGTGGAGTAAGTGAGAGACGCATGGAGAGGGGCACGGCACATGAGCGGAGTGGTGTGGTGGAGTAAGCGAGAGACGCATAGAGAGGGGCACGGCACATGAGCGGAGTGGTGTGGTGGAGTAAGCGAGAGACGCATGGAGAGGGGCACGGCACATGAGCGGAGTGGTGTGGTGGAGTAAGAGAGAGACGCATGGAGAGGGGCACGGCGCATGAGCGGAGTGGTGTGGTGGAGTAAGCGAGAGACGCATGGAGAGGGGCACGGCGCATGAGCGGAGTGGTGTGGTGGAGTAAGCGAGAGACGCATGGAGAGGGGCACGGCGCATGAGCGGAGTGGTGTGGTGGAAGCCTGAAACGACACAAGTTGGTTTGGTGAGTGGAAGGTGGGCCGGGGAGATGACTGTGCAGAGGTGGTTGCAGCATGGTGCAGGGTGGTGGAGTGTGGTGCAGATGTACGTTTGAGCTCACATGTAGTTGAGGTTCTTGAGCCGGCCGAGGCAGCTTGACACGGGCCCTGTGAAGCGATTGGCGCTCAGGCGCCTGGAGGGGAGGGGGGGAGAAGAGGGGAGGGGAGGGGGGGAGAAGAGGGGAGGGGAGGGGGGGAGGGGGGGGGTTGAGGTGGGGCGAACGAGATGAGACTGGTCATGGTGTGCACACGACAGTGGAAGAAGGGTGGAGTTGAGCAGATTGGCACGTGATGATGGTATTGTCATGGAGTTCGCGTCAAGTAAAGCATATAATCACGGAACTCACAGCTGGCGCAGGTTGGTCATGGTGCAGACTACAGTGGGGAAAGTGGAGTTGAGCAGATTGCTGGGTACATAGCTGCCTTGAATGGCGGAACACGGGGTGAGAAGAGTGGTGTGGTGAGGAGCGGGGGTGAGGAGGAGGGATTAGAAAACCAGAAGATATGGAGTTGAGCAGGTGGTTGGGTTGGGTACGTAGCTGCCATGCGTGGGTGTGAGAAGAGCGTGCAGCATGGTACATGACAGCGCGGGGACTGGGGGAAGGCAAGCCTCATGCACATGCACACACGGCATGGGCGTGGAGAGAAGGTGACAATTCTTGCATGGTGACGAGGTTGGAGAAGGTGTCTGGTATGCCTCCCGTGAGAGCAATGCACACGGCACAGTCACACATGGCAGGGCATGGCATGGGCGCGCAGAAACTGACAATTTCTGCATGTTGACGAGGTTGGAGAAGGTGTCTGGTATGCCTCCCGTGAGGTAGTTGAGGTTCAGATGCCTGCGAGCCATGCAGCCGTGCACGCACACACAGGCACACACGGGCACAGGGGCACAAACACGGCATGCACACAGGGGCACACGCACAGAAGAACAGAGAGTCACACACGCAAACAGGGACAGGGCGAGAGGGAGCAACGATGGCGAGAGGGAGCAACGATGGCGAGAGGGAGCAACGATGGCGAGAGGGAGCAACGATGGCGAGAGGGAGCAGCGATGGCGAGAGGGAGCAGCGATGGCAAGAGGGAGCAACGATGGCGAGAGGGAGCAGCGATGGCAAGAGGGAGCAGCGATGGCAAGAGGGAGCAACGATGGCGAGAGGGAGCAACGATGGCGAGAGGGAGCAACGATGGCAAGAGGGAGCAGCGACGGCGAGAGGGAGCAGCGATGGCGAGAGGGAGCAACGATGGAGAGAGGGAGCAACGATGGCGAGAGGGAGCAGCGATGGCGAGAGGGAGCAACGATGGCGAGAGGGAGCAACGATGGCGAGAGGGAGCAACGATGGCGAGAGGGAGCAACGATGGCGAGAGCAGTGGGTTTATAGATGAACGGCAGTACATAAACGATGGATTTTTAGATGAACAGCAGTTCATAAACGATGGATTTATAGATGAACGACAGTTCTAAAGGATGGATTTATAGATGAACAGCAGTTCATAAACGATGGATTTATAGATGAATGGCAGTTCATAAACGATGGATTTATAGATGAACGGCAATTCATAAACGATGGATTTATAGATGAACGGCAGTTCATAAACAATGGATTTATAGATGAACGAGCCATGCTCCCAGCCGTTCAAACGAAGGATTAGAGACTGGACGCCAGCACTCACAGCTGGTACAGTTAGTCATGCCAATCGCCCCCCGCTACAGTCACATCACTATAACCCCCCCCCCCCTTTATACTCACAGCTGATACAGGCTGGTCATGCGGCCCATGGAAGCTGGGATGGTGCCGTTGAGAAAGTTCTGATACAGCTGCCTGTGAGGGGAGGGGGAGAGAGAGGGAGGGGGGAAGGGGAAGAGGGGAGGATGGGAGACCATGGAAGCAGGGATGGTGCCGTTGAGAAAGTTCTGATACAGCTGCCTGTAGGGGGGAGGTGGGGAAGCGGGGGGAGAGGGGGGAAGGGGGTGAGGGGGGAAAGGAAAGGGACAGAGGAAGGGGGGAAGGGGACAGATACGTGTGAGAGGAAAGGGGAGGGGGCACGGGGAGCGCCGTGAGGGAGTAGGATGCTTGCCTTACCATTCATCTTGCATGCTTGTATGCATAGTGACTATTAATACAAAGGACCATTCGACGAAACGTGAGGGAAAGGGTTTGGAGTGAAGCAAAGGAGAGGGGAGGGCAAGGGGGGCCGGCAAACGGTACAGCGGGCAGGGCGAGCAGGGCCAGCGGGAAGTGCGGGGCGAGCGGGGAGTGCGGGGCGAGCGGGGCAGGGCGGGGCGTACAGGGCAGTGAGAGGCACTGACAGGTTCTTGAGTTTGACGAGGTTGCTGAAGGAGTTGGGTATGTCGCCATAGATCCAATTCTTCACCGCGAAGCTGATGAGGGGGAGGGGAGAACAGAGAATGGGATGGGTGCGCGCGAGAGGGAATGTCGCCGTAGGTCCGATTCTTGGCCGCGAGCTGATTCCTCGGGGCAACACGCAGAGGGCAGCACACCAGAGGCGAGAATATGGTCACGCACGAGAGGAAAAGACAGCAGTGAGAAGGCATGGGTGCATGTGATGGGACAGTGGAGAGGCACGGAGGCACATTAAGAAGCGGCGGCGGCGGCCGCCGCGGCCGTGGCGAGAACGGCGGAAGCGGGACTTACAATTCCTCCATCTGGGTAAGCGAGGTGACTTTTGAGTCGACTCAGAAGCGGGACTCACAATTCCTCCATCTGGGTAAGCGCGCCGATGGCGGAGGGCAGCGTGGCGAAGAGCTCCTGGTAACTCATCTCCATGCGACGGATGTAGCCGTTCGTCCAGCACTGCACGAGCTGCCACGTGGCGCACGGATTGGTCGCCACCCAAGTGGACAGATCCGCTGTCTTTCCCCACACGGCCTTGAGCTCCATCATCGGCGCGACTGGCGGACGGGGGGAGGGGGGGAGGGGGGGGAGGGGGGGGGGGAAGGGAGGGAAGGAAGGGGGGGGAGAGGGGAGGTAGGGGCAGAGAGTTGGAGGGAGAATTCGTCGCGACCCACGTGGACCAATCAGCAGTCTTGCCCCACACCGCCTTGAGCTCCATCATCGGCGCGACTGGCGGGGGGGGGATGGGAGGGAAGACGAGAGGAGGAAAGGAGAGGGCGAGAACAAAGGGAGGAGGACGAAGGCATGAAATGCGACCGAGAGGGAGCGAGGCGGGGAGAGATGCGGAGAATAGATGAGGGACGGATGGAGGGGCGGATGGAGGGGAAGAAGAGCGCGAGCGGTAAGCGCGGGAAGAGCGGTAAGCGCGGGAAGAGCGACCGTCCTACTCTGAGAGCTGTGCACGTAGACGGGAAGAGCAGTGAGTGTGACAATAAGTCGAAGAGACAGTGGGTAAGTCAACTGTAAAGAGCAGCCGTCTTACTCTGAGAGCTGTGCACGTAGACGGGAAGAGCAGTGAGTGTGACAATAAGTCGAAGAGACAGTGGGTAAGTCGACTGTAAAGAGCAGCCGTCTTACTCTGAGAGCTGTGCACGTAGACGGGAAGAGCAGTGAGTATGACAATAAGTCGAAGAGACTGTGGGTAAGTCGACTGTAAAGAGCAGCCGTCTTACTCTGAGAGCTGTGCACGTAGACGGGAAGAGCAGTGAGTGTGACAATAAGTCGAAGAGACTGTGGGTAAGTCGACTGTAAAGAGCAGCCGTCTTACTCTGAGAGCTGTGCACGTAGACGGGAAGAGCAGTGAGTATGACAATAAGTCGAAGAGACTGTGGGTAAGTCGACTGTAAAGAGCAGCCGTCTTACTCTGAGAGCTGTGCACGTAGACGGGAAGAGCAGTGAGTGTGACAATAAGTTGAAGAGACTGTGGGTAAGTCGACTGTAAAGAGCAGCCGTCTTACTCTGAGAGCTGTGCACGTAGACGGGAAGAGCAGTGAGTGTGACAATAAGTCGAAGAGACAGTGGGTAAGTCGACTGTAAAGAGCAGCCGTCTTACTCTGAGAGCTGTGCACGTAGACGGGCGTTCCCTTGGGAGTCACTTCACTCGTCGACACCCTCCCCTTCCCCCCTCCCTCCGCCGCCTCCTCCTCCGCTATAAAGTCTTCTACAGGCTCCTCCATTGCTGCTACTATCGAGTCCACGTATGTCGGGTCCGTCACGATTGGCCGCGTGTCCCGCTTCGGGACTTGCAGCCCGGGTGGTGGTTTGGATTCACGTGTGTCTGTCAGCAGTCCGTCTATGATTGACTGACGGCTGGAAGGGTTGACGGATTCTGGCAGCGGGTCAGTCAAGTAAACGGTTTCCGTTTCGGAGGATGGCGAAGGGGCGGGTGCCGGCGCAACGCGAATGGCGATTGCTGGCGACGTGAGTAGGGAAACAAGCGCGGCGAAGAGAACTAACTGACGCAGGGTAACCAGACTTCGCGAGTGCGCGACAATCGTCGCCATGCCTAGATGCACGAAATGGGCATGCGACGTTCGCAAAACTCGTTCCCGCTGTTCTCCACAGACCGTGTTGCTCTTTCGCTTAAATCCGCCGCTCGTGACGGCACTCACTAACCGTTACGCAGGTCAGCAAGAGTGTCGTTCTCCTTTGATCTGATCTCAAAGCGAGGCGACAGATTTGATCCCAAGCCCTCTGTTTCTCAATGCTCCGGCTTCTGCGACTCTGTTTGAAACCACTTCTAGCGCGCACGCAAAGGGTCGGCAAGCGGAGGGACACGCGGGACGGCTACTGGCGCACAAGAGAGGACTACTGTAACAATGCGTGCTTTTTCTAGTCGACTCAAAAATCAACGGAAGGACTATCCCTGTGCTTTCGAGATTGTCGATTGAGTGAATGCATATATGATCGGCTGATGGTATGCAGGTGTACGCGGGAAGGAAAGTAGGTGCGATACTAGCAAGGATGGCCAAGCCGCGGGCGGCAGATCCGCTTTGAGGAGCTATCTCGTGCACTATCGCGAAGATGCGTATAGCGAGAACTTCTGATAAAGTCGGTGCGTGGAGGATGGAAGGTAAGCGTATGCCACCTTCCCCTTCCCAAATGTGTACGCGCAGCGCAACCTCAAGGCGGCTGGTGGCGCGAATTGGGCTGTTTGCAACCAGGGCTGTCGATATCCCTGGGGGCAGAACTTGAGGCCCCCAGCTGCTGAGATTCTGACCCTGATTTTCAGGGAGGTGACCGAATTTTCGCCCTTAACGGTCACGGGTGCAGGCCGAAGTGTACCTTGAAATCCGGGCTCCAATGTGTTGTGTACTTAACTAACCTAAACAGCATCATAGACAAGAAAATCACATACTTCTCACTACTAACTACTCCAGTCAACCTGTATGTCACAACTTCCAACTACAACTACAGTTGCACTACCTACTGTATTTCTACTCATCTCCTGACTTCGACACTACACAAACACTAGATTGGATAAAATCGAGTGAAACATCCTTACCTGTAGCCCTATTGTGCAACTTTCATGGAGAGGGGGGGTAGGGGAGGGGGGTGTTAGGCAAGATTTTAGGGGGTGGTCTGCGGAACCGAAAGTAGAACTTAGATTCAGGGGACGGCCCAGATTGAGCACTTAACGCGTCCGGGGAAGGGCCAAACGATGCCCTTAACTAGCATGGGTGCCAGTCAAATAATTCCCTTAAAATGGTCGAGATGCGCCAAACATAGCCCGGAATGTTCAGGGCATTAAGGGCAAATGCCCTTGAATCGACAGCCCTGTTTGCAACCCCCACCCTCCCCCTCATCCCCGCGCGAGGGCCAGAAATCAGTGCGGCTGGTTGGTGGAGTGGCTTGGTTGCGGGGCGGGCTGAATGGGGCGAGATCGACGGCGGAAAGAGGAACTTCAGGAGAAATTGCTGATGGTTGTTCTGGGTGCAGTCAGCCCGTCACCTGCGTCATCTTTTTGTTGTGGCGCGCTTTGTCACGCTAGTTGTGATTGGTTGGTGATGCTCGGCCAACGCTGCGACGCGTCAACATGATGAGCATCATGATGTGTTTTCCGCACCAACACTGCACCGTGCTCCCTGTCCTACCTCCACACCGCCCGCTGCACCGTCGGAAACGCATGTAGCGCAACATGCGCTGTGCTGCCGAGCAGCTGGAATATATTTCACGTCGGTGCTGTTCGGTCTGTTGTTCAGTTGTTTTGTTGTACACAGGAAGCGCGTTTGACTCTTACAGCTTTTCCCGTCATTTGAGTGTTTGATGAGCAACTTTATTTCGCTTCCTCGCCAACACTCGCCAATAAATGTAACCAGCTTCTTAAAAATATCTCGCGAACGGACGGATGCCAGGGTGATAAGCTGCCTGTTCAACGGCTGCGATCAAAATAGGGCCTGTGTTGTGCGTGCAACTGGCTAGTACTACTTGCAATTGGGCAGGCTGTCGAGCTTGGACAAACCAAATTTGCGTGCAGTTGCTGAGCATCCTACCATTGTTTCAGTCATGCCTGTCGATTCACGGACATTTGTCCGTTTTCCCTGAGAATTCAGGGTTAGTTTCAGCTCAGCTCAGAGATTTTCAGGGCTGTTTTTTTTCCCAGCCTGGATTTAGCGGACAGATTTTGGGGCTCCCCGGATTTCCATACCTGCCACCCCCCTTCCCCTCACCCCCTCTCTTCCTCACCTTAGACCGCGAACTTGTTCCTCTCCCACTCCCCCCAACAACACCAGCCCCCCATGTCCCACTAACGTATGCTGCTCCTTAGTGTGGTGTAGCTCGATAACTTAGCTTTATTCTCAGAGCCGGAAATATGAATGCCCTGATTTTACGACCGCTTCCCGGATAGCTCAGGTTTGTTTTCGAGACAGCTCAACTTCTTACGGTTTGGACCCAGACCAATCGACAGCCCTGGTTTCAGTCCCTGGCTGGTGGCACAGTGTGCTGTGCTCATGATTGCACACCTGAAGCCCAGGTTACTTTTCACCTGAGATGTGTCGCGTACCAAAAAATAAAGCAATCCGCTAATGAACGAGGACCAGCCAATAAAATTCAATATGTTACAACTTCTGTTTTCACAGGAAATACTTCTTCAATCTATTGCCTGAGATTGTTATTATGCATAAATAATCAGCTGCTAAGACTCATCAATGGAGCCGGTCCAGGCGCAGGGACACAAGACTGCTTGTCAACCGTCGGCACATATCCGGCATCACAGTCGCATGAAGGGTTCCTTCCAGGACCAAACCAGCACGATCCATGCCCACCGCACGTTGCCACATCAGCGCCGCAAAACCGCTTACACGTGGAATTTGCCACCTGCTTCTCAACCTTGTTTGCCAGCACGCACGGACTACCTGGCGGGTACTTCAAACAATTATACGCCAAGGAAGACTGGTAGAAGATCCCACGGCGAGTTTGATCCGTGGGGCATTTGGTAACCGCGCCGGCCGTTACGGACGCGGTTCCGTGGAAGAAGTTGTGGTGCATGTTGTATTGGCCGGCTGTGAGCAATGTACTGTTGAGGAATCCTGTGGGGAGTGGACCGGAAAACTGGTTGTCGTGTAGGTTGCTGGTGGGTGGGTAGGAGGAAGGGGAGCAACGTCTGAGTTAAATTGGTTGGAAGAAGTTGTGGAGCTTGTTGTATTGGCCGGCCGTGAGCGATGTGCTGTTGAGAAAGCCGTGGGGAGCGACTTTTGAGGAGCCTCAAATGATGTATTGAACAGCTGTGCCATGCAGAAGGAATGGGTAAAAAGATTTGAGCTGGATGGTTGGTTGGCTGCGGTTGAGCTTCAAGCAAGGAGTTTTGGATGCATGAAAGTGCATGCTTGAAGATGGACGGATTAGAAACGGGTAGAAAGGTGAGACGGTTTGAGAGCCTAAGTAATGGCAAACGTAACAGCTGAAAGAGTTGACACAAGTGGTTGCAGGGAGGGTGAAACAAGTGGGTGTAGCGCAAAGGAGTGACACAGGAGAGACTAACACGAGAGAGAGCTGAGGAAGCTGCAGAATGCCTGAGGGAAAGCTTCCGTAGAAGCGGTTGCCCTCCAGATAGCTGAGAGGGATAGTGTGAGAGTGAGCGGGAGAGATGGTGTGAGGAGAGTGTGGAAGGTAAAGCTTTTGTGCTCTGACAACCACCAAGAAGACTTAGGAGAGTGGGAGCACCAGGCAACGGAGAAGAGAAGCAGTGGAAGAGCACGAGCCGCGTGAGTCCCCTCCCTCAAGATCTCTCATTACAAATGCGCAAGAGAAGCACAGCCTTACAGCACAGGAACAAGCATCTATTGAAGCAAGGGCGTACAGCACGGTGAACAAGCATCTATTGAAGCAAGGGCGTACAGCACGGTGAACAAGCATCTATTGAAGCAAGGGCGTACAGCACGGTGAACAAGCATCTATTGAAGCAAGGGCGTACAGCACGGTGAGCGCCTTGAGGTTGCTGAGGCCCTGTGGGATGGAGCCGGTGAAGCGACAGTTGTCCATCAGACTGGGGTGAGGGGAGGGATGGGAGGGGAAGGGCGAGGGTGAAGGGAAAAGGGAAGGTGGGATGGAGCCGGTGAAGCGACAGTTGTCCATCAGACTGTTGACGGGGAGGGGGAATCGGGCAAGGATGTCAAGGAGAGAAATTGGTTGACGTTGGGTGGAGAGAGCAGTGGTACAGCCAACGTCAACCAATTTCTCAGAGTTTGGCAGGGAGTTGGGGGGTGGGGTGGTGTTGTGGACAGTGGAAGGATCATGCCTTGTGTGGGTAAGGGTGGGGGATGGGGACGAACGCTGACGCACGCTGCTATAAGGGATGATGCAGAGGGATGGCGCAGAGGCATGGCGCAAAGGGGCATGGTGTGACACATGGCAGCAATCATTTGCATGTCATGTTTCATGATCTCATGGCATATCGTGGCATGGCATGGCATGGCATGGCATGGCATGGCATATGGTGGTATGTGGTGGGCAGCAGGAAGGGGGTGTGACTGACATGCGGGAGAGGCGAGTGAGAGAGGACAGGTAGGGGGCTTGGCAGGGCAGGAAGGGGGCGTGTCTGACATGCGGGAGAGGCGAGTGAGCTTGGTGATGGAATCAGGCATGGTGCCGTTGAAGGCTGCAAACTCCATCACGCTGGAATGTGGGGGGACGAGGGAGGGAGGGAGGAGGAGGGGAGTGGTGCACAGGAAAGGATGGGCGAGGGGGGGGTTGGAGGAGGGAAACAGGACGAGGGGAGAAGGAGAAGAAGAGAAAAGGATAAATTATTACCACATATTTGTCACACTGTGCTTGTGCTGAAGTTAATTGCACATGCGGGGGGGATCTGAAAGAGACAATCTGGGCATTGCTTCCCATGCAAGGCACTCACAAGTCCGTGAGGCTGACCATGTTGCCCAGGTCTGCATGTGCATGTTGAGAATTCTCAAGAACCAACCAACCAGGCACTGCATTGCACGGCAGGGCACTCACAAGTCCGTGAGGCTGACCATGTTGCCCAGGTCTGCATGTGCATGTTGAGAATTCTCAAGAACCAACCAACCAGGCACTGCATTGCACGGCGGGGCGCTCACAAGTCCGTGAGGCTGACCATGTTGCCCAGGTCTGATGGCAGAGGGCCATCCAGGTAGGGGTTGCTGCTCATGAAGCTGATGGAGGGGGGCGGAAAGAGGGGAGGAGGGGAGGGGAGGTAGGAAAAGGCGCACGAGATGAGTGACTAGCAGAGGGCCGTCCAGATAGGGGTTGCTGCTCATGAAGCTGATTGGGGGGGGGGGGGAGGAGAGGAGGGGAGAGAGAGGTGCAAGAGGTGAGCGAGTTCAGGTGCGATTAAAGTGAGGGCCGTCCAGATAGGGGCTGCTGCTGCTGCTCATAAAGCATGCGGGGGAGGGTGGGGGCGATGAGGGAGAGGAGAGGGACGACTAAGAATGAGGTGGCAGGGGAGGTATGGGGAGGGTGGGGAGGTCGGTTCGGTGCATGTCAAGGTGAAGAAAAGAAACTATGAGGGAGAGAGGGGGGAGAGAGGAGAGAGTAGAGAGGGCATGGAGAGAAGAGGCGAGAGGGCTGGGAGGACGGTGAGGGAAGAGAGGGCTGTGAGGGCGGAGAGAAGAGGGAGAGAGAGGTTGAATGACAGGATGCGGAGGTTGGTGAGGGGGGTGATGGTGGCGGGCAGTGGGCAGAGAGGGAAGAGGGCGGAGAGAATAGCAGGGGCAGAGAGTGGGCACGGGAGGGCGGGAGGCTGACAGGATGCGCAGGCTGGTGAGGGAGGTGATGGTGGTGGGCAGAGGGCCTTGCAGACTGTTCTGGTTGATGAACCTGCCCGGCACGAGTGATACGGGGAGGGGAGAAGGAACCAGGTGAGGTGAGGTGAGGGAAACACGTGTGGGCAGCAGGGAAAGACCCCAACGTCCTTGAGGCGACTCAAACAACGTCCTTGAGGCGACTCAAACAACGTCCTTGAGGCGACTCAAACAACGTCCTTGAGGCGACTCAAACAACGTCCTTGAGGCGACTCAAACAACGTCCTTGAGGCGACTCAAACAACGTCCTTGAGGCGACTCAAACAACGTCCTTGAGGCGACTCAAACAACGTCCTTGAGGCGACTCAAACAACGTCCTTGAGGCGACTCAAACAACGTCCTTGAGGCGACTCAAACAACGTCCTTGAGGCGACTCAAACAACGTCCTTGAGGCGACTCAAAGAACGTCCTTGAGGCGACTCAAACAACGTCCTTGCACAAGGCACAGACAAGACAACGACCCTCCCTCTAGAAACGCACGGTGTTGTTGAGAAGTCTCAAAAGCACCGTGCAGCATCCTGGCCAAGGGTGTTGTGTTGCAGAAGGCACAGACAACCTCCCTCCGTCTAGGAACGCCCCACCCCCCCTCCAGGTAAACACATAAGGCTCAGTGCTCTGCTACAAGAGGCCCTTTGCTTTGAGCTGGCTTTTTAGAATTCTCAAAATCCATGCTTTTCACCTCACCCAGAGTAAGGCTGTTTTGAGGCGACTCAGAACTGATTTTGTTTCGCCAAGCATGGCATGAAGAGCACATGGCACATGAAGAGCACATGGCACATGAAGAGCACATCACACGTACAGGTTCTGCAGCAGGGGCAAATTGCCTATGGTGCTGGGGAGAGTGCCGGTGAACCAGTTGGTGTCTATGTAGCTGCGGAGGCCCGGGAGGGGAGAGGACGCAGGTGGGTGGGCATGGGGAAGAGAGGAGAGGCCCGGGGTACGAGGGGACAGGGGGAGAGAGGGAAGGCGCACGCAGGGGGAGGAGCACGCAGGGGGAGGAGCACGCAGGGGGAGGAGCACGCAGGGGGAGGAGCACGCAGGGGGAGGAGCACGCAGGGGGAGGAGCACGCAGGAGGGGAGAGGAGATTTGATGAAGGGGATGGAACCAGTGCCAAGGAGAAAGGCACGCAGGAGCATAAGCCCTGGACTGTATGAACAATAGGGGCGAGTCTGACTGGGAGGGGAGGGACCGTGCAGTAAGGGTAGTGGGCGTGGAGGGGAGAAGCAGGGGTGCTAGTTGCAGGTAATAACTAATAAGCATGGAGGGGAGCGGGAGGGACAGGCGAATCGGTGCAGTGCAACTTACCGGCCCGGCCCCATATGCTAGTTAAAGCTCACAGGTAGTATGCGTTCTTGAGATTGCTGATGCACTCGGGGACAGTTTCAGACATGTCTAGAACTTAGCATAGCTCACTGAGACATGTCTGAAACTTAGCATAGCACTCACAGGTAGTATGCATTCTTGAGATTGCTGATGCACTCAGGGACGGTGCCAGAGAAGTGATTGTAGCTGATGCGCCTGTAGTGAAAGGGCGCAGTGAAGAAGGGAAGGGGGATGAGAGGGGGAGGGACGGGCATGCGCAGGCAACAGAAAAGCATTTTGTTTCCATAACAGTGATAATGAATCATTTCTTTATTCCCACATGTTGATTTCCACAATACCGCGCTCAGATGCAAATCACTTGAGCCAAGGCAGCACTCGCGCCGCTCATATGCACGTCATGGTGCAGACCAGAGCACAGTGGGAACGGGGCCTTGAGCCATCTGGCAGTTCACAGCAGCGCGCAGCATAGCACATCACCGCACAGAAGCGCACATCAGCGCCCAGTGCAGGGCAGGTATCGAGAGAAGAGTGCTTACAGCTCCCAGAGGGTCGTCATGTTGCAAAGGACAGGAGGGAAGGGGCCTGACAGCAGGTTGCTTGACACATAGCTGATTTGGGGGGGGAGGGGGGTGGTGAGAATGGGGGAGTGGAAGGAAGAATGAGGGAAGAGGTGAAGCAGAAGGTGAGAGGGAGAAGGGGAAGGGGGAAGGGGGAAGGGGGAGTGGCGGGAGTGGAGAGCTTTGAGATGCGTCAGGAGCTTTTGAAACGCGTTCCTGGCACGGCCGCAAGCAAGGCAAGGCACGACTCCCAATTTGAGCAGGGTGGTGAGCTGGGAGACGTACCTAGGATTTTTGGACTGGTAAAGCAGTTGGAGGGAGGGGAAGGTAGCACACTCACAATTTGCGCATGCCAGTGAGCTGGGAGAACGAATCTGGTATGCCTCCCGTGAGGTGGCTGTGAGGTGGCTGTGAGGCGGATGTGAGGTGGCTGTGAGGTGGATGTGAGGTGGATGTGAGGTGGATGAGAGGTGGATGTGAGGTGGATGTGAGGTGGATGTGAGGTGGCTGTGAGGTGGCTGTGAGGTGGATGTGAGGTGGATGAGAGGTGGATGTGAGGTGGCTGTGAGGTGGATGTGTGGTGGATGTGAGGTGGATGTGAGGTGGCTGTGAGCTACTGGTGACTCACAAAATTGTGACTCACAATTTGCGCATGCCAGTGAGCTGGGAGAATGAATCTGGAATGCCTCCCGCGAGGTAGTTGAGGTTCAGGTGGCTGCAAAGGGTGAGGTGCATTACAGAGGGGTTTAAAACGGCTGAGAAGGGTGAGGTGCGAAGGGTGGTGGAAAAACGGGAGGAATGAGAGAAGCGAGAGGGGTGGGAAGGGGTTTAAATGGAACGGCAGCAGGGGAGCAGCACGTTGGAGCAGAATACTCTACTGCCAATAACCATGGGTTGGACGAGTTGAGCAATGGAGAGTGGAGGGTTAGACCGTTAAACTTGCTGCCGTCACCATGACGCCACTGCATTCCCACGAGTTTTGAGACGTCTCAGAATGAGGGGCGGGGGCCGTCGCCATGTGTCTATTGCATTCCCACTCCGGTCGCAACTGTTACTCCCTCCACACTCACAGCCACCACTCCCCTCGCCACACTCACAGGCACACACTCACAGCTGGTACAGGCTCCTCATGTTGCCCATGGAGGGCGGGATGGTGCCGTTGAGGTAGTTCTTGAACAGCTGCCTGCAGGGGGACGGGTGTGGGGGGCGGGGGCGAGGGGAGATGGAATAAGAGAGCGAAGTGAGAGGGAGTGGTGAGAGGTGCGCATGTTGCCCATGGAGGGCGGGATGGTGCCGTTGAGGTAGTTCTTGAACAGCTGCCTGCAGGGGGGGAGGGAGGGGAGGGGAAGGGGGAGGGTGGGGGGAGAGATGTTGCGAGTGAGAGGTGAGCATATCACGAGGCAAGCTGGAAGGGAGGGAAAGGCGCAGATAAGATTGGTTTTGAGACGTCTGAAAACCAATCTTCATACACGTAGAGATGTTGCGAGTGAGAGAGAGGTGAGCATATCACAAGGCAGGCTGGAAGGGAGGGAAAGGCGCAGAGAACAGGGAAATGAAGCGGGAGAGAGAGGCAGTGCGAGTGATGGGAGGCGAGGGAGAGGCTCTAGAGCCGTGTAAGGGAGCAAACGGTTTACAGCATTGTGGCGCGCAGTTGGCAGTGGGCTGGCAGTGGGCGGGCAACAGTGAGTCAAGGGGTGCAGTGGCAGTGAGAGGCGTTGAGAGGCGGTGAGAGGCGGTGAGAGGCGGTGAGAGGCGGTGAGAGGCGGTGAGAGGCGGTGAGAGGTGGTGAGGGGGCACTGACAGGTTCTTGAGGTTGACGAGGTTGCTGAAGGAGTTGGGGATGTCTCCGTGGATCCAATTCGTGGTCGCGATGCTGGTGGGGGTTTGGGAGGCGAGGGGCGGGGATGGATGGAGCAGCCAGGACACAGCGGAGGCCACGTGAAGTGGGGGTGTTTTTGAGACGTCTCAAAACCACCCTCACTTCACGAGGATGGAGCAGCCAGGACACAGCGGAGGGGACAGAACGATCATGGCAATCCCAAGGGAGACAGAGCGGCGCCTGCCCATAGGATGTGGAGTGGATGCTAAACTGCCGTGCGCGGTGCGGTCGGAAGCGAGGCAACGATTGGTTTTCGGAGCTCTCACGTCCATGTGGGGCTCACGAAGAGAGAGAGGGGGAGGGGGAGGGCAGGGAGAAAAGGGGAGCTGTGGAAGCCAGCACTCTTGCAGCTCATCCAGCGAGGTGAGGTTCCCCAGCACGGTCGGCAGCGTGCCCTTGATGCCTTTGGAGCTCACGTCCATGCGACGCAGCAGCCCGTTGCTCCAACACGTGACAAGGGGAGGGAGAGAGAGAGAAGGGAGGGGCTGTGGAGGGGCGCACGCTTACAACTCTTCCAGGCTGGTTAGATTGCCGATGACGGACGGCAGCGTGCCCTTGGAGCTCACGTCCATGCGACGCAGCAGCCCGTTGCTCCAACACGTGACGAGCCTTATGGGGTGAGAGGGAGGAGGGGAGAAGCATGAGGGGGGGCACTTACAGTTCTTCCAGCGAGGTGAGATTTCCAAGCACGGACGGCAGCGTGCCCTTGATGCCTTTAGAGCTCACGTCCATGCGGCGCAGCAGCCCGTTGCTCCAACACGTGACGAGCCACCAGCGGCTGCACGGGTTGCTGCCGTTCCACGACCGCAGGTCCATGTAGCTGCCCCATGCTGCCCGTAGCTCCATCAGCGCGGGGACTGGGCTGGGGGAAGGCGGAAGGAGCACGCGGAAGGAAGGTAAAGAGAGGGAGGGGGGGGCGAGAGAGGTTGCTGCCGTTCCACGACCGCAGGTCCATGTAGCTGCCCCATGCTGCGCGCAGCTCCATCAGCGCGGGGACTGCGAGTATGAGGAGGGAGGGTGGGGAGGGGAGGAGAGAGGTTGCTGCCGTTCCACGACCGCAGGTCCATTCAGGTGCCCCATGCTGCCCGTAGCTCCATCGGCGCGGGGACTGGGGGGTGTGGGGGGAAGGTGGGGGGAAGGGGGAGTAGGGGAAGAGGACGGAGCACGAGGAAACGAAGGGTGAGGGGAGAAGCGGGGTGGGAAGGGGACGAAGAGGTTGTTGCCGTTCCACGACCGCAGGTCCATGAAGTTATCCCACACTGGGCGCAGCTTGTTTTGAGACGTCTCAAAACACGTTCCACGACCGCAGGTCCATGAAGCTATCCCACACTGGGCGCAGCTCCATCCGTGCGGGAACCAGGGGGAGGCGGCGGAAAGGAAGGGGAGATGCATCAGTGCAGTGCGGAGTGCGGTGGAATTGGAAACGAGGGTGCAGTGAGTAGTACAAAGGTGGGTAGCAGGAGGTTTGACCTATCACCGGCAGTGCGCGTGCGTGGTCTCAATAACGAGCAGTGAGAGAACGGGTCGTTGAATTGTGTTTGTGAGACGTCTCAAAACGTGGTATCAATGGCGTGCGGTGGGAACGGGTCGTTACGTTGTGACGGTGCGACGTAGACGGGCCTCGCGAGCGGGGTGACTTTGAAGGCGGAAGTTGCTGAGGCGAAGAGCAGGACGAGCAATGCCGCGCGGAGCAACGCACGTAGCGGCAAGAAAACGCGGTCACAGCGCGCCGATATCGACCGCGGCCTTGACAGGGATAGTATGGAAGGTTGCCTCATGGTGAGGACCGGTTGACAACGGTGAAGCAAACTCGGCGAAGAAGCCTTTTTGAATGAGAGGACGACGAGACGAGGGGAGGGCGGGGAAGGCAGTATGGCTTGAAGACAGGGAATAATATAAGATGGCGATTAAGAAGTGCTTTCTCAATGTAAGTGGGCCACTAAGATGCGGCACTAGCTCCTGCGACAAAAGAGGATATAAATGAGCACCCTTCCTTGTTTTGACTAGACAGAAATGTCAGATACCTATCGCGGATTCTCAACATTGTTAATTCAAGACTCCTAAACGACGACACGTATCCATTAGTTTGACAGCTCTCGGGAATCAGGAATATTGGTGAACAAGAACCAAGAAAAGCTTCAAACAACCCACTTATTCCCAAGTTGGGCCATCAACGTTCATGGCGGTGTGCGTGTGTGCTGCTTGCTAGCTGGCTGTGCAATGGAGAAATCGATGGCAGCTCTAGGCGATTCGAAATGTGTACATTCCGTGAATTCGCACAGGTACGACGACGCAGCCTCGCACTGCTGATCGCATAGTTTCGAAGCGCCTATGGTTGGTTGGTGGAGCAGACACCGAATGCCTGTCGCAGGTCCGGTTGTTGGGCTCTGAGAGCTGTTCGTTGCTGGCTCTGATTGCTTTGTGCGAGGATGTGCGATCGGGTCTGACGTAGTCGGCGAAAATTAATCCGTCCTGCGACCGCATTGTGCATCAAAGCTGGCCGCCAGAAAACAGAAGAATGGAGGCACGTGGCCACCACAAGGCGGTGGGTGCGTGAAAACAATGTCTTGTACAATTCACGTAACAAATACAAATTCCGTGCATGGAAAATTTCAGCGCAAGACGATACTGCAACACACTACAACGAGAGTGGAGACCAGCTCAAGGTCCCTTGCTGGCTAAGTCATGTTCCTGCCTAGAACATTGCCGACCCCATGTTGCTGCTGTACATGAAGGGTCCCTTGCCGGCGATGTCATGTTCCTGCCTAGAACATTGCCGATCCCATGTTGCTGCTCTACACGAAGGGGCTATGCCTAAGAGCATAACACCTCCTCTGGAATGCCAATTGCTTGTTCCACCACATGCTGATGTGCATCTCAGATAAAAGTCGTACTTGTCTGTGCAAACCTCCCATCAACCTAAAGTTCGGTCAAGCTCAAAAAGGGGATGGTTATTACCAAGGTAATACATCTCCTAGGCCCTTCCCCACCAATGCAGGCAGAAATGCGGCTGACATGGATTTCCTAGAATGGGTAAGGCTTGCACATGCCATCACCAGCCACCACGGCGGAACTAGTTTCCCTACTAACTACGGTAGCATGCCTCCCGGATAAACCAAGTAATCTAAATCAGCTCTCCAATGGCGCCTAACCAACCTAAGCCCTGCAAATGCAACTCGTCAGTGAGTTAATCTACGAGCACATCACCGTCACTTGATCACCTTGAACGGCCGCATCATGTCGTTATCCTCGTGATCCAGCATGTGGCAATGGTACACGTAGCCAGGGCCAGCAGACACGTCGAACGGGAAAGCCTTGCCCATACTATCCATCCAGGGGAACAAGAGCGTCAGCACCTGACCGGGGTACGCCGTGGTGGTGTCCTTCCACCCGTTCTCAGTGGGGTCGATGCGAACCCGCGGGCCCGTCCAGCAGCGCGGGAGCTTGTTGCCACGGAACGCGCACTTGCCGGACTGGAACGCGGCGACGTTGAAGGGGCGGCGGGAGATGGGGCGGTGGTCGATGAGGTGGAAGTGCATGGGGTGCGCGTCGGCCGACAGGTTGATGATGTGCCACAGCTCGTTCGTGCCCTGCCGGGGAAGCGGATGAAAAGGCGACGGAAGGGAATATCAAGCCTCGGAGTGTGCAGCAATCGACTCAGAAATCACAAACAGGGGAGCGTGGTTGTGCTGACAGCAGGTGGTAGCGCTGACCTGCTTGGGAAAGTCTCTGGGGGGGTCCATGAAGCCGAGGTTATCGATGGTGACGCGGACGGGCAGGTTCGTCTTGGGGTCCATCTCCTCCACCAGCCGGTGCCAGCGAACCTTGGCGACATTCTTGAAGTCGATCGGCGGCATGCCCTGCCATGCGAGAACGTGGAGGGGGAAAAGATCACGGTGAAGACCTGTACCGGTGGTTTTCAAATATACGAGAACAGCCACGGTAAGATATGAAAACGTATGGGTTCCGTGTATGTACCACGATGGAGCTGGGGACTTTCGCGCCGGGGATGCGCTTTTTGTTAGTGATGACGAAGCGCATGACAAGCCCGGTGTCGCGGTCAGCCGTCACACCAGCGGGGAAAGGCGCGGACGCGGTGTTCTGCAGAATCACGTCCTTGCACGTGGCGGGCAGGCTGGAGAAGTCAACCAACACGTCCTGGCGAGCGCCCGGAATGAGCAGCACCGACTTGGAGGTTACCGGCTTCCCCAAATAGCCTCCGTCGGTGGCAATCTGCGCGTTGGAAGGGAACGTGTTAGCACGTGCTTGCTTAGGAAATCCGGTCGCAATGTGAAGAGCGTAGTCAGTATTTCTACTTACGCTGACGATGTCGAGAACCTGGCCCTTGAGCGGCGGCACGAAGTTGGGGTAGTCGCCGCGCTGTGCGCAAACGAACTGCAGATTGTAGAAACGCGCGTTCGCCGCACCCAGCATCTTGAACCGGTACACCGCAGGCCGGACCTTGAGGTACGGCCAAACGACGCCGTTGACCATGTTGGTGTCGCCGAGGTACTCGGGAATCCAGTTGGGGTGCACATTCGGCACAATGCCCACGTTCGGGTAGTTCACCGAGCCGTTGGCGAAGAACAGCCGATCCGCGATGGCGAGCGGGACGGTTCGGGAGGCGGGCGGCAGCCAAGTGAACTTGGACTCGAGCTTGGGGTCCGTGATAATGTACAGCCCCGCGAGACCGGCGGCGACGTTGAGGCGCGTCATGCCTACCATGTGGTCGTGGTACCATATGGTCGACGCCTCGTCGTTCACATACTTGAACGTGCTGTTAAAGAAGGTCGGGCCTTTCTCGCCGTACTGCGTGAACCACGCGAGAGGGTGGCCGTCGTAGTAGCTCTGCTGGGAGCCGCCGTGGCGATGCACAACTGCAGGGCCAATAGGGAAGAGAAAGAAGAGTCAGACCGGATGCGCGAACGGAGTACTATTGCGAGCGCGCGACACGAACGCGAAAAGTATATACGGAAGGAGAGTTACTTCACCCATTCTGGGTCACGCTCTTACCGATGGGAATGCCCTTCTTGGGGACTTTGACGCCCATCATGATGGTGCGATCGACGGTGAACATGTGCGTGTTGTCGAGCAGATGGTTCTCCCACGTCACCGTCGTGTCGATGCCCACCTTGGCCACGATGGTGGGGCCGGGGTACGACGCCGTCTTCTGACTCGTGCCGTACGCGTACTGCTTCGTCGCCGGCAGATCGCGATGGAATTTCTGCCACGTGAACAAGGGAGAACTTAGAGTCAGCCGGCGGGGCGCATTCTGCGTTCTCGTCATGAAAAGAGCAGAATCTTGGGAATAACATGCCAGAGGTAGTCGTTTGTTGTAATGGGTGCAGGAGAGAGTTACCTGGTAGATCTGATAGGCGCCAATGGTGAGCGGCCTGGTGCCATCGAGGGTGGGGATGACGCG